CCTCCCCTCTTCTCTTTCCTTATGAATTGTGGAATGCGCAGAGGACGGTGGATAAGACTGGATAAAAGTGGATAAGAGTGGATAAGAGTGGATAAGAGTGGATAAAGGTGGAAAAGAGTGGATAAAGGCTGGGTACAGGTTAGAAGAGGGAGAGAAAGCTGAGCACGCTGTGAACAAGTATTGAAACAGGGGAACAGACAGGGGGACGTCACGGCCAATGGGTACAGACAGGGGTTTTAGCCCACATCAGGCTGGAACCGAGAGGTACAGGAGAAAGGAGAGATCAGGGTTGGGACAAGGGAAGAGAGATGAGTGAGATCGGGAGGAGTCTAGACACGAAGCCGGGTGAACTTGATCACGGCTGTTCAATCCCATTTGTCTGAATAGGCTTCAGGCTTCAGGGATTAAGGGATTAAGGTAGGGTACAGGATTCTAGGCTGCACCCTCCCCCCCCCCCTACCCCCAGAATGCACACTTGCTAGGAATGGAGGGCAAGAATTAGGAACCAAGCGGCCATCAGCAGGGTGAAGAGGTACCATGGCATTCACGTCGCTCTGAACACTAGGTGCCCAGGGTTCTTTTGTCCCAAATTGTCCCAATCATACTGTCAAAATATTCATCATGTTCATCATGTTCATCATGATCATCATGATCATCATGTCCATCAGGTTCAAAGGGTCGCTGGACCCGATTTCCAGTAGGTGAAGCTCCCCACCAATAGATGGAGCGACCGGCAGCAGACCTACTAGGCGCGGCTGCTGTTACGACGCCCCCTTGTAGCCGCCCTACTGGTTCTTGGCTTGGGCTGTGGAGGAGAGGAGGGGGGGGGGGGGAAGAAAAAGCCGCTCTTTTTCAGGGAAAAACTTCGGAAAAGGCAAAAAAATGTCCTTCATTCGTTGGCGAAAATTGATGATGATCTGTTCTGCAGAAGCAGTACAAGGAAAGAGTCGGAAAGGCTACAGTCTTCCCCCGAATACAACGCACGGTCATTATAGCTGAATTTGGTGTATCTTTCAGTCTAAATTCAGCTATAATGACCGTACGTTGTATTCGGGGGAAGACTGTAGATATATGTAGTGGTAGTGGTAGTGTCAGGTACCCTGTGCTTGTTTTTGGCAATTTAATATTTATCTATCTGAAAAAGGGTTACCCTGCTGGGCTACCAGACCCACACGGGCCCAGCCGGGCCGGGGCAGGGCGACTAGGACCCTCTTGCCCGGGTCGCCCGGGTGAGTAAAAGAAACAGTCAAAACTGTTTTTTTTTTTTTTTCCCCCGTGATGATGGGGCATTTTTTGCGCCCTCCGAGAGGGACCCGAATCCGGTCGTTTTTGGAGGGTCGGGAGGGGGGGTGGGGGTGGAGGTGGAGGTGGGGTTAAGGGCCTTAAAGGGGCTTGAAAGGGGTTGAAAGGCCTTCAAAGGGTGTGAGATGATTTTCCTTACAATATTTTATTTTTATTTCGAATTCTGTGAAGAATTTGGAAGAGACGCTCAGCCAAAAGTTGTTTGGTTTGCTATTCTGCACAACATACATGTTTTCCAAAATTGTTTTTTTCTTTTCTTTTCTTTTTTTTGGTGAGATATGGGCCGGGACCCCCGCCGGGCCCAGTTGCCCGGCCGGTCGTACCGGGCAGGTCCCGTGCGCGCTTTCGGGACCCGGGTGGCACGGCTGGTAGCCCAGTTACCCTGTGCTTTTTTTTTTTTTTGGGGGGGGGGGGGG